TATACCTGAAAAGAATTTTGGGGTCCATCTGCTTCTCTGTTCACGTTACCACTTTCTCTTCTTGAGGGAGTCAACGTGAATAACTGATTTGGGTTTGCCCATTTTTTCAGTACTGATTCAATCACCGCCCACACTTTTGACTTCGTTTTCCACACACCAATCTTCTTGAACAATGGTGGCGGCCACACGGATACAATCTTTCCTCCTTCTTCGAGGTATTTCTTGCATATCTGCAATGTCTCAATGATAGCCTCATCCTCCCTTCTTGGGTTTATGGGCCATACTATGATCCACATACGGCAGTTCTCCAAGTATTTCAACGCTTCTTTGAGTTGACTGAATGATACTGCCACCTTGCTCAGTACTCCACACTGTTTCAGCACAACTTCCTCAAATGATGTTGCACATCTCGGTGAAATAACCGCAACAGGACGTTCCTTCTCAGAACTTTGTCCTTTCTTACTGCTTGTCTTCTGAACTTTGACTCCTTTCTGTGCCTCTCCGCACATTCTTCGATCACTTCTGGAAGGGCTGTGCTTCTTGTTGCCCATCCTACATGCCGACTTCTTCCACTTGCGCTCACAAGCTTCCTCCGGCCAGATTCCTTTGGCTTTAACATCTCTTCTCTCAATGGAAGATTTCTTGCTAACAGCTACAGACCTGTCCTTCTCTGAGATAGATCTGTTCACAGTTATGGTACCTTGTTGGACCTTCGCTCTTACTGAGGCGGTGTTTCTCTTGTATGGAGGCACCATCCTATCCCTTGCTTTTACTTTGACTTTAAGCTTTTGATGTATCACTACTTCCACCCCTAGACTCTTCGAAGCATTTGTGCCAATGAGTACTTCCTCATTTCTATCGTCCGAAACATGAAAAGACACTTCCTTCTTACATCCTCCTTCTAGTTCTACTTCTACTTTTACACCTCCGAGAAAGCTCATCACATGGTTGGATGCATCGTATATGCTTCCTTCCGCAATGTCGAAAGTCTGAAGTGACTCGACATCGTACCCATTGTTCCTCGCTTCTATAAGCACGTTCACGGGTAGTATACTTATCTCTGAGCCCGTGTCTAGAAGTGTCGTAACCCTTTTTCCCAACATTCTCGCTTAAGTCAATGTGATCCTGCCAACAAGTCCGTATGCGTTAGATTGGGAGCTCTTTACGACCATGTTCCGGCCCCTGCTTATCATTGGTGTTACTCCATTCGAAGCCTTTATAGCGCTTTCATTCTCCGTTTCCTTGTAGTTACAATCTCTCATCACATGTCCGAAGTGATCACATTTAAAGCATCTTCTATCCTCCTGATCCTCATCATAGGCACTCGAGCTACTCGTTGGCTCCTGCCTTCTCATGCCAACTTCCTTTTCGCCTCTCTCCGCTGGGCTGCTTCGACTTTGGGTCATAGCTGACACATAGCCTTCATTTTTACTTGCTTTCCTCCAGGACGGAGCTTGCTGTTCACTCCTCCTCTCGAATCTGCAAAATCTTCGCGACTGTTTGATCTCAATTGCGATTTCTTTTATCTTATTATACGCCTCGGCTGGGTCCACTTGGTGTAGGATTCCCACCAGCTGTACGTATTCCGGCCATGACGTCAGATTCTCCAGTAGAATCTGCGCATACTCCATCGATCTTTCCTCAATGGTACATTGAGGATTGGCCTTCCTTGCTAGGTTCTCGAGGGCGACACAAAAGTCTGCAACCTCTTGGCCTGGCCTTAAGCGCATGTTCCTTAAGGCTGTCAGTGCCGTTAACCTAGCTGCTGTGGAGTCACAGGCCAGTAGTGGAGCCATCTCCCTCACTACTTTGTCAAAGCTTTGCTGTCTTACCCCCATGGGTATGCTCAAAAATAAGGATTTTGCCCGTCCCTCCAAGTGCTCGTCACCTAGAACCTCTATTAGCAACTGTTCATCTTGGACAATGGTACCATACTTCCTTTTGAACTTTCGAATGAACCTGTCAAAGTCTTCATCCTCATAGCCCTTGAAGACTCCAGGATCAGGAAAAGTCATGCTTTGAAGGTAGTTGAGCAACTGATCTTCCACGCCTCCATGATTGTCGAGTGGTCCGTCATCCGACCCTCTCAATACACTGCCTTCCCTCACTGCAACTGCCGTTGCTCTGGGACCGAGTATCTGGTTTAACTCGGCTGTTAGGTTCTCCAGCCTACCTAACACTGTGGCTACCTTAGCCTCCAACTCTTCTTCAAGTGGCAATCCATCAACCGGTACTCTACATCGGCCAAGGACCTTGCTTACCGTCCCAGGTAGCATTTCCACTTCTTTTCTGATGATGCTTATCTCCTCCATCATCAAGTGTGCTTTTCTCTCATGGATATCATCTGCGCATCTTTGCTTCTGATCCGTATCCATGAACATGAACGTACTCGGCAGCGAAATGCTTCGCCTTGCCTTTACATTCATCGGTAATCAACGCCGCACGCGAAGTCGTCTTAGCTGATCGAAGAGAGTTAATCACAATCGATACTCACCCTCTATTAAGCGTGGATGATTTTATCAAGAATCACTTCCCCCTTATACCTTAAATGCCTGCTCTGTATGATATGACTAGCTGGCTTAACCGGCTCCGCCGTATGTTCCGAATAGAAAATTCCATTTCTCAACCGATCCGGACCAAACTTGGCACACATACACTTCGGGCCCCGGCGGGTGTCACAGTCAACTTTTCGTTACCGATCGATGTCGATTTTATCGATTTTTTGCAAAATTTGAGCCCAATCGAGCATGCTGATCACCCCCACGGGGGTGATCAGCATGCTCGATTACCCCCCTGTGCCAACTCCCAGCCCCCTAGCTCAAATTTTGCAAAAAATCGATAAAATCGATATCGATCGATGACGAAAAGTAGCCTATGACACCCGCCGGGGCCCGAAGTGTATGTGTGCCAAGTTTGGTCCGGATCGGTTGAGAAATGGAATTTTCTATTCGGAACATACGTACACACAGACATACAGACAGACAGACAGACAGACAGACATACATACATACAAACAGACATTCAGCTTTATATATAAGATAGAGACTTTTTTCCAGCTGATCTTAGATGTGGCCTTCTTGGCCTGTTACGTACGTCACCTGTTCGATAACGTATGGTTTCCCACCTTTTTGGTCTTTTGGTTTCGTCTTCTTGGCCTGTTCTACGCTCGCTCTATGCTGTCTTGCATCTGAGACAGTCGATATCAGTCGCCCCATGTGTATTTCAATCGATCCAGATATGCTCGGCCCCCATGTAACCGGGGGTGTCTAGTGGTATAACGGTTTGAACCGGATCGATAGACTACACGGATTGAACGACTAATAATTTATCTCAGAAAACGGCAACAAACAACAAGAAACAAGAATGCGTAACGTGAACAAGGCTTACAACGAAACGACGGGCTTTACCCTCTTTGACCACTTCGGCAGGCTTACTGGTTACTCTCTATCTAAGGGGGAGATCCGCCTCTCTTCGACGGAGTTAGCTCCCGCTAGCGCTTCCTCAGCGCGGACTCTGAGATCTCCCCCTGACTCCCGGTATTTATACCTTGCCGAAGGGGTCAGCGCGGGCTTTTCTTCCCGCCACTGAAGATCGGTAGGTCGGTGATCCGCACCCTCTGACATCTTTATAATTTTGTCCACTTTTAATTTAGGGCCTTTTCGAATTTTTTCGTTTTTCTCCGTTCAAACTCAAAAAGACTGGAAGCCGTTTGAAGGGTCATGGGAGGGTTGACATACACACAATACAGCAAAGTTTCACACAGATTCATTGATAAGAACGAAAATTACGATTTTCAGAGTGTCTTTATAATTATGGCCAGCCCTGTATCTGAACTTACCCAAGGCTTGTCTACACGTGCAGCTCTCCATTCATTTTTGAGATACATATAATGTCGTGACGTACCGAGAATGGTACAGACTGCGAAATCGACCTCAAGCTAGACCGACATATTCTCAGCTCTACGTTCGAGGAGGAAATTGCAGATTCACAGTTGCGTTAGTGCTACCCATGCAATTACCTTGACCCACAAGGAGTACCTTACATGGATGGAGCATGGGAATGTACCAATGACTTATATCCATCACCGCAATAACGCAAAATCTTTATGATCCTTATCCTTCCTTTGCCGATTTCTACTTTGGTAGCTGTAAGATATCTACAGAGCTTTTTCACATTGCCTGCGGAGAGGCGCCGCTCACGCGCTCACGTACCGTACTTTATATGGTAATCTATAGTGTTTCGAAGAACAAGTGCGCCACATACAAGGACGGACGCAGTAGAATTATAGGCAAATTGCCGCCCTACTATTGCCCACCATAAAAAACACCTAGAAGCAATTCTTTGACCTGCCTCAAAGATAATGAAGCAACTTGAAATGGGCAGGGGAAAGGAGAAAAAAGTTCCTAATCTTTCATGAAAGTGGTTTGGAAAGAGCAAAGAAATACACTTTGGAATGCCTCTAACTTTCAAGTTGTGGAATTGAGCTCATGAAGACAGTCGTGCGCATGAGACAGAAGTAAGAGTCATACCCTGTGACCACATAGTATAGATTTTCGTGTGAGCTAAACGCGAGCTCGCAAAATGCTGCCTCTTGTAGTTGAATACAAGGAAGGATTCTTCTTGTTGCTTATCATATGACTCATCCAATCACAATTTTGTAAATTGAACAACATCAATTATATCAGAGTAAATAGCAAATATAGCACAAGTGATTGAAGCCACTGATAAAAATGAAGGACGCCACATGTACAAGCAGGCTAGGCGTGAAGAGTTAGTTTCTAGGTAAAACTGAACAGAAGGTAGAGGAACAGGCTGTATACAGAGGAATCAAAACTTTGAATCGTAAAGCCAAGAAATGGTAGAATTACACGCTTTAACGAAAGCTGTTTTGGGAACAGTGGTAAGTTACGGAGGATTTCGTAAGTGATATGGCAAGGGAATGAGGAGTTCATACACGCATCTCTTAGTCAGACTAGGTATTTGCCCACACTCAAAGGCTTTCAGAATAAGGAGAAGTTAGAGCCATAATAACGACTGATCAGCTTTGACACCGGCGTTGCAAGAGTGAACATCGCCATACCCGCTCCAAAAGCTACCATTGGTGAAGCACCTGCTGCAGCTAAAGCTGTTCCTAACAGAAGACTCTTAGCGGCGACAGCCTAAATATTAATATTTTTGGAATCATCTTCTTTGTGGAAAAATTTTATTTCTCTAATGCACTATAAATCAGCTCAGACAATGTATCCAAGATATAGAAATGAACTACTAACCTGACTACTAATTCTGTTCCCGTATCGACACCACTTTACAAAGTGTTCGCAATTATTCAGAACTAGATTATAGTTACCAGCTCCTAGCTAAAAACAATTTTGAACGACACAATGTTGCTTACTCCTTGTAAACAACGAACCTGTAAAGTAGCCCGTTCGACAACGATCGTAGGAGGAAAAGGATCATGATCCGCATCTTGGCCATTGTTGACTCGTACTAAGTCATCACCAGCAACAGAAGCTATTGAATCACATCGTACCTAACAAAAAAAACCGTAAACAGTAAACTATAGATATCAAACTGTGGCGATAGCAGAAAGACTGTTCCAGATGAGACAAGGCAGACAAGGATCTCTGTTAATGAAAAAGTATGGCGTTAGTTTGAGAAGAATCTCAAAATTTTCACTGTTTTAACCATACAATCTGAAAAAAAACGAAGGTCGTCAAGCACGCCACAAGATTGAATATTCAGTAAGATTAGCCTAGCTAACACAAAATTTCAAACCAATTTTGCTATTGATCATGAGGGACTTGTTATATGCAAAATTTTGCGCATCATATAAACTATTCAAAGGAGTTCGCGACCAACCCTCCCCATCCCCCCTGTTTGCCATCCGCTATACCTAAATGAAAATCTACTGCAGTTTCAATATACTATTGATGAACTGTGCAGCTTTGAGAGTTTACATCCTTCATTCGTTGAAGAAGGAACTAGTTCAGACCTCCGCAGCGACTCCGCCGAATAAACCTGATGATGATCCAGCGAGTGAATCTAACGGGCCATTGCCGACACCCTCTCCAGTGTTGAAGTCGGCCCCTTCTCCAGAAAGATGCACCACTAGAGGAACATTGTCATGTCGTCCTATGTACACTGCCCAATGCTAAAATCATCAGTAAAGCGAGAAGATGAGCACAACTATGTAGTCACCGTGTAGATGCCATGGGGAGCACCAGCAATATATGCGACTCTCCTTTCAAAAGATCTCCTAGCTCGACGTATCTCTCGATATCCTGCCCATTTTGCCATTCGCTAATAAGCTGACCAGCAGCTAACATAATCGGTGGATTTTTCGGTCACGCAGGAGTTAGATACCTAAAAGTTGAATGACAAGGTTAGCACATCCGAACCAAGCTATCTTGAAGTAATCGGAAGAGAAGTAATTCGAAAATACCTGAAGATATCGATTTCAAAGAAAAATAGTAAATGACTTCCCTCAAAACTAAAAGGTTCGTTCGTCAAAACTCATAATTTCGAAGTCTTGTCAAAACATTTGCTTTTTGCAACACACTACACAGTTCTTTCGAGATAGCGAGAACGTACTACGACAAGGGATTTGCATGTCGCCTTCTTATGGTTCAGACAGAGTGTACTTTGAACTGAGCCAAGGTAAAAACCCACGTCGCCATTACAGATTACACATTTCCCGAATATTCGAGGCAGATTTATGATCTTAAAATGACGACAGTCACATACTAGTGAATCATACAATTTTCGCAAAAATCATGCTTGAGACTGATCTTACTATGACCTCACATTCTTCAAAATGAGTACAGACATTATTACCCGAGCAACAAGTAGATATTGCAAATTGTGACAGAAATGCTGTTCCTAGAGCATATTTTCTGTACCTTACGGCTTGAAACTCATTCAAATGATATTTAAAAAAATTGTCTCTGAAGGATACGATGAGACCTGTGGCGATAAACGGTATGTTGCCATCTAAATGTGACCTAACGGACACGTTTCGGTCCATGCAAAAGTTGCAAGACAGCTACTCAACACATGCGAATGGCCTGTTCTTAGTAAGAGGGCTATTATCCGACTAAATAATTTTCAGTCACATTAGAAGCGACAGAGAAGGAAAATATGAACGGGCATGAATGACGCTAACAGTAAGTCTGACGCACGACTGAGTAAACTATGACAATGAATCGTGACTCAATCTACAAAAAAGACAGGAAGTTCAAAGGACGAGAAATAAACGTATGCTAGCTTACATGTGCTACTTGAAATCTTGATTTAGTAGCTCTTTGAAAGCTTCAGTCACAAAACCACATAGTGTACAACTGGCGAGTGTAAAGCATAAGAATTTCGAAACCGCATGCAAACTGCTGCCGTATCTGCTTGAAAAATCTATAACACAAGAACATTTTCTGCAGCTGATATGCGGTAGCAGAGGAATTTACTGCTAGAGCTTAGCATTCGTAATTGACCATCGAATACACTTTTAGACGACTTTATACCATTTCCAGAGAAGTGTTCAAACTTTGGTGAAAATTAGCTGTGCTTAGTAGTTACAAAAAAATGCTTCCTAGTTCAAGTCCCTTTCGTGCATTCTAATCTAAATATCAGGTTTACAACTGTTCGGATTCATAACAAAAGCAACTTTTTTAACTCATATTATCTCAGCCATCCAAAGATTTCTCAAAGAATATATTCTTAACGCTCGATCTTGAAATAATCATCGGATCTTACCATCTTACTATCCTCGCTCTCGTTAGAACTGAAATTCCAAATGCTTGGAAGAACCTATCAGGTGTAAGAAACGGAGCCATCCTCGTTTTTTTTTTCTATAAAGAGCAAAAGGTACCCAAAGGTCGCAGTAAGGGTAAGGTGAAACGCAACTTAAAACCACACCAATAAGGTGTCCATGTAACTTTTGGCAGGAGGGGGACAACATGGCAGAAGTTTCTTACAGCCAAGGCCACGCATTTAGGATAGACTTTTTGAGATGCCCCCCGAAATTGTTGTATGGAGTAACTTCGAAAATTCAAGAAAAGGAATCGTGGAGGTCGCGACGCCCCGAAGAAAATTTACAAAGACAAAGACAGCTACAGAAATTTTTGAAAAATGATTTAAAAACAATTCAGTGAAAACGAGTCAATCTTTTATCTGATGTAAACCACTTCCAATATTTCGCGATCCATTCTTCGGCACCCCCTCCTCCTTTTCCGCTGATTATTTCTCCACCACATGAACAATAATAGAGCGATATTTTGGCTCGATTTCCTACTAGATGCTCATGTAATTAATAATCTCACCACGAACCATATGATCATATGATAACTTCCAGTTTTTGTATGCTATCGAAAGATTTGGACGAAGAAGCTTTCCGTTTCACTATAACAGAAGTGGTTTCAATGTAAAAGATTATTGCGCCATCCTCTTTCCAAAGGAAGAAATGTTAGATCTGTCTACTTTGTGACGTCTCTTATCTGGAGTCACGCCATCTATTTACTTGATGGATGATAAAGAACTATTCATAAGCAAAACAAATTTCTCTCTAAAACTACTAGATCACTCTAATGGTATACAGCTATTGTGCAGCAGCAGATTTGATTTGTTGAGACGATATCTGAAGCGAGTGAAGGCGAAGAATTCTGAGGTAAACTTTATAAAGATGTCATGAAAGAAAATTGCAAGACAAAGCGATTAAAGGCTCATAGACAACTGATAACGGTAGACATCAAAAGTACAGGTCAACACTTCTGGAATTTGTCCTGAATTCATTATTGAGAACTGTTGTTTGCCGCGGGAACAGTCTCACTTCTGGGTCTTTGCCTCAAATGATTGGAAATAACACCAGTAATCCCAGTACAACTTTACTCATTGATTATTCAGATACCAGTGCGTCACCTCTGCTTCGCAGAGGCTCGCACTGGTCTTACTTCATATGCCTTACTCATTCTTGACTAAAGGTGGCAATGAAACTCACCGCGCAGTGCCGATTTTCGAGAGTAAAATGTAAACAGCTACCCATTCCAAATGCTTTTTCATGTGAGATCGGTGATTTCGAGTGTATGAAACTTTTCGCAGAAGAACAGATACAAATTTAAATAGGTTTTTGGAATCTTTCTGGCTTGATAGTTGTCATAAGGACCGCAGGCAACGTGAGCTACATCTCTGTGAAAAATTCTTCTCGAATGCTCAGGTAAAACCATGGCAAATCAAACATTTACGCAACCATTTTTTTGGCGTCATTCTCGTAAAGTAGTAAACTTTTGCTCACTTTTTTGGACTAAATCTATGGCTTGCACATCAGCATGCCAAACACATCTCCGACTTTGCAAAAAGTGGTGATACGGGACCAATTTTGCTGGCCAGAACTCAAGTGGTTCCGTTTGACGCGCGTTTCTGAGGGATCCACCCAACAAAACCACTCGTGCTTTTGCACGGTAGGCTCTTATGTTGGTCGCATGCGATGTGCAAAATTTGGGCTCAACACGTTGGCTGGAACTCGCTCTACGAATTTCGTTACAGACAGACACACAGACATACACACACACAAAAACACGTAAACAACCTTAGCCCGTTATTATAAGTTATGATATTAGGCTGTTGCAAAAGTTCTGTCCGACTTGAATTTTTTGAGTTCAAAATTTCATAACTTCTTTCGAAGTCAACTTTTTTCCAAAATCTCAGTATCCTTTTGTTGAGCAATTCCTTAGCTATCACATACATATTGAAACCTGCGAAAATCCATGTTAAGCAGGAAGCAAGAACTCAGAAACTTCACAGCGTTTTTCTTCAAACTTGTCTTTTTTGACATGGCAATGCTCCTTTATGAGAATTGATAGGCATATTGTCTAACAATGGATAGATAGAGAATTTTTCGTAGATTAATCTGCGCCATAAAAGAGCCCATAGGGTCTGCGTTGCCGAGATATTTTTTTGACCGACCAAAAAATTAGCCACTTTTTGACTTCGCTTCAGCGCATGTGTGCATGCCTATTTACGAGATATGAAAATTTTACAATTAACGTGAGCGCCGAAAAGGAATTGGTGGATGGGCCTTAGCTCTTGCTTTACCCTAGCACCTCCAACTTTGAAGTCGTCGATTATTTCTATTCGCAGAAAGTTACAGCTTGTAAAACATCTAAAGTTAATGTTCGACGACAAATTTCACTAGCAAAACGTTTTCTTCATGGAACCGAGAGCCCATTGTGGAGATTTCCTCGCAGGAACATATTTTCAGGGTAGGAACGCACCTCGGCCACTTGGAGATTTTACTCCTGAAATCTCATTACATTAAGAAATTTATTAAAATTTGACATGCTTTAAAAAGCGCAAGAAAAGCACTTTCTAATAGTACTAACAGTATCGCATTTGACATGAAATTCTCTTAGAACAGCTGCTTCAAACATAAAGCAAAAAAAATCGGACAGAACTTATGCAACAACCTGATATATCACCTGTTTCAGTGCTTCCAAAGTGCAGTTCGGGAAAAACCATTGACATGTCATGGTGCTGCACTCAATTTGTTGGCAAACGGTCATTAAGTCAGGTTGTCTCAAAAGTTCTGTCAGATTTTCTTGGTCACGAAAATCACAGAAAACTGGTCGATGAATGGCCCGGATACGTTTTAACCGACGTTTTCACTCCCTTTCGACACGAATTCTCTTTATTCTAATTTTCTCTATCATGGTCCGTATAAAAGTTCTGTAGTTTCATTTGCAAGAAAAGGCAACATTCCGCTATCTGAACAGACCTGCTTTGCTGTATTGTCTTTTTAAAAAGAAGAAGCCTTCTACTTTTTAACATTCCTTCACCTATTTCCTTTACGCTGGTTGCGAGATAATCGATGAAGAAGATCATTCAAGCATGGATCATTTTGAGTTGGGCAACCAAAAATCTGAAACGTTGCAGAAAATTCTGGAATCATAGGCACATAAGTTTCACGACCTACTCTTTCCAACTGAAAAGTTTGTGCTGATCGGGAAATCTACGAAAAGTTATGACTTTCGAGAATAACAAGAAGATAATTGATTTCGACATTTTCTAATGCAAACTCCAAGAATCGTAATTATAGAGACGTCAATCGGCACGAACTTTTACAGTCAGAAAGAGTAGTTCGTAAAATTATGTACAGAAGGTTCCGAATCTTTCTACAGCGTTTCAGATTTTTGGCAATTTAACCTAAAATGAACGAAGCTTGAATCAAGACTCAGCACGAGGTGGCTTTTGGAAAATGCAAAACACAAAGTCTCATTTGACTTCCCCAAAATTTTACAAAGTTTTCTTTGACCCTTAGCCATTGTCCTAAAAATCTCCAAAAAACGAAACGTCGACCAAAAAAATGTCCCAAATTTTGTGACTTTTCGGCCACAGAAACGTAAACCCCTTTGCTTTTTGTCCCGATACGATAACGATATCCAGCTTGCCTACCAGCACTTGTGCCGAGCCGGCTTAAATGATCTTCTTCATCCATATCTCCGCAACCAGTGTTCAAGAACCGTTAAGACAGCATAAGAAAGTAAATGGCTCATCTTTCTAGACCAAAGCTGAGCAAATCTGTCCAGATAGCGAGAAGTAAAGAATCTTTTAGAATGAAACAACAAAACTTTAGGAACCTAAAATATAATACATACATAGTCTTTGCGATTTTACTCCGTGGCTAAAGCAGTTCAGTGACACCAAAATTTCTCCAGTTTTCAAAATCCAATATAGGGTAGTCAAAAAGCGCTAGCAGCTGCAGTGTAAACCTTAGCCTACATTATATTTACATTCATTTGAGCTATAGGTCAGCTTAAGTCTGTGATAATCAATTATTCGGAAAAACCCCGGTTTTTTTAAACACAATTAGCGCATAGAAACATAGAAAATGCCAAAAAGTGACTCTTCGAACCAAATCAAACTGCTTATTTTGCATAGATGATTCTGTTAGCAATGGAACTCTAATTCGCGAAAGCTGTCGTATTTCTGCTGCAGCTGCGCTTCAAGACTTGACCATATTTTACAACGCTTCAAAGACCAAAAGAATCTAAAAGTACTAGCGTACAGCCCGTTTGCTCTATTCGCTCAAAGCTGCTACTTTCCGGAACTGTGGAACAAATCAAAAATTAACCGAACTTTGAGCAGATAAAAATGACGAGTAGAGAATTTTAGCAGTTTTCGAAAGTTTCTAGAGATTATGATTTGAAAATGTAATAATCAGAAAGAAAAAGAAAAGCTGCATCGAATGCACATTCAACCGCATTTGATACTTTATTGTAAGAGGTTTTATGGCTATTTAGAATCCTACTATAATAACGCGCTAAGGCCGTCTGTTTTTTTTTGTGTGTGTCTGTGTGAAAATCTGTCTGTCACGAAATTCATAGAGGAAGCTGCAACTAAGATATCGGACTGCAATTTTGCATAACATACCGTGCCAGCGTGTAGGCCCACCATGCACAAGGTTGAGCCGGTTCGCTAAGCGGGTCCCTCAAAATTTGCGCGTCAAACGGGTCCACGCGTCTTTTGGCACGCAAAACTGGGTCGCTAATTCGACTTTTTGCAAAGTTATGATTTGTCTGACAAGTAACTCTGCGTGCCATGAATTCTAGCCCAAAAAATGCTCAAAAAGTTTGCTTTTTTGCGAAAATAGCGCCAAAAAGGTATGAACGCGTGGATAGTCGTTTTGGCAAGGTTTTATTTGAAAAAACGGAAAATATTTTTGCACTAAAATGTAGTCCAAGGTGACCATTATCTCAATGACGATTATCAAACTAAAATAAACTCAGTAATCCGTTCAAATTCGCATTTGTTTCCTTGCAACAAGGTTTTTTTTCTCAAAATTACCGATCTTACATGGAGATGCTTCATGAATGAACAGTTGTTTACGATTCATTTGTGATGCTCAGCATGGCATAGTGTTCAAAGCCATTCTCATGCGAGCATGAGAAATACGGATAGGGAGTCAGTGCGAACCTCCGCGAAGCGGAGGTGACGCACTGGTAATTATAATAACGGACTAAGGGTTGTTTACGTGTTTTTGTGTGTATGTCTGTCTGTCCGTTACGAAGTTCATAGAGCGAGTTCCAGCCAACCTCTTGAGCCCAAATTTTGCAACGCGCATGCTAGCAGCATGAAACTTCGCTGTGCAAAAGCACGAGCGGATCCGTTGAGTAGATCACTGAAAAATTGCGCTTTAAACGTATCCATATGGCTTCTGGCCAGCAAAATTGGGCCTGTACCACCACTTTTTGCAAAGTCATGATATGTTTAACAAGCTAATGTGAAAGCCATGGACTTTAGCCCAAAAAATTGAACTAAAGTTTATTACTTCACGAAAATGGCGCCGAAAAAAGTAGTTGCGTAAATGTTCAATTTGCCAACAGTTTACCTAATCATTTGAGAAGATTTTTGCACAGAGATGTAGCCAGCGGTAATTATTGTCCTTATGGCGACTACCAGACCATAAAAAGTCCAGAAACCGGTTCAAATTTGCATTTATTCTTCTCGAAAAAGTTTCATCCACGCGAAAATGCCTATCTCACGCAAAAAAGCTCTCGGAATGAGTAGTTTTACAAATCATTCGTGATAGCTTGCATAGCGCGGTGAGTTCCAGTGTCATTATTATGCGGGAATGAGTAAGGAAAGTACAGTACATAAGTAAGTACATAGAGGAAGTAGGGCCAGTGCGAGCCTCTGCGAAGCAGAGGTGACGCACTGGTTTAGAGCAACCGAGAAAACTTTCGGGACAACCTAATATGTTCAATGCGACCAGTACCCACAAATCACACATACAGGTGTTCCAAAAATGTGCCTACTTTTTGATTATTAATTGCTATCTTGTCATGAACTCTTTGGAAGAGCTTTGAGTTAGCTGGCTTATTTGATGTATAGAACGAATCACCAATCATTCAATCCTACCGAAGGATTACGGTAGAAACTTTGAACGACTTTGAACCATTGGGAGTTACATTTTGTTCAAGTGAGAAAACCGAGCAAATCAAAAAAACTTCTATACCTGGCTAATCGAAGTCGATGATTCCAAATATGAAGCTTGTGCACCAAGGTCATGCTTATCTCAAAAGTTATTAAAAGTATGCTAACCACTGCCTTTCCAATGTTCTTCAAAAATGTGATTATGCCACTGAAAGAGCTCAAAAATCTTGTAAAAACTTGTAACGAGATGAGCATGTACAACCTTGCTACATAGATCTCCAAATATCTTGAAATTTTTTATCAAGGACTTATTTCACAATGGCGCTGTATCCTAGAGGTTCTTACCGTAATCCTACAATGACGAAGAGAACACGGATTCGTTTTATACCGCAAAATTAAGTTGAAGCCAGTTCTATGGAACGCTACCTAGCTTCCCCAAAGACTTCATGACAATAAAGTTACTAGCTATCAAACAATAGGCACATTTGGGGGACGGTCAGGAGGTACGATCGGCGCGAATTTTTCGCGAAGCGACGCCGCAACGTACTTCAACCAATACAATAGCAGCACTGCAGGCGCAATGTTACTTATGGCATTGAGTCATGTATCTGCCTCTTCCCCACCCCCGTTTTTTGCCGCCGGGAGTCTCTGATATGGGGAGCTCTATGGGTCCCAAGATCGGAACGCGGCGTGCGCGGCGTATCTCCTGACGTGCAGCCCATTTTCTAGGACAACTTTGAAAGCGTCTCAGAGGTGTCAAAAACAAATAAATTCAAGAGAAATCGCTAAGCCGCAAATAGAGAAGTTTTGACAGTGGTGAAGGAAGAAATTTTATGAAGTAGGACAAAAAAACGTAATCGATGAGCTGAAGAGAGGAACATGTTTGATTGGTCACAAGTGAAGGGCTGGATATGATAACTTTGTCTTTATGTGCGGCAAACGGTCAGCGTAGAAAATAGTGGTTGGAACCAATGATATACCAACAGAATCAGAACGCATGAATAATTTATTATCAGAGCGAGTATGAGATTTCACATGTACATGACTGACGATCATTGAAGATGCATATCGCAATGGTTTCGAAAAGAACTCAGGTTATGCCTAGAGGCTGTTTGCTGAGCGTTTCTTGTATAGTCTGCATGATCACTGATTGCCAGGCCTCTCGGCACTCATCCCATATCAATTCCACCTAAATATTCGCAGCTGTTTTACTAAATGACAGTGAAAAAAAAGAATACAAGACACCAAATAAACTTAGTGCCTAAGTTTCAGTTATTATCTTATCCGCCTATCGAAACTTTGTTTTGGTAGTTTGAAAACCAGAGCACTGAACCAATGTGAGCAATAGAATGTTATGAGAAGATTTTAGATCGTGGACAGTAGATAAACTCTACAGCAGTTTTACCAACTCCGGCGTACGAGATAGTCCTATTGCGCTGGGCCAATTGGCAACGATAAAGTTGAAAGAACTTTGGGTAAACAAATTCTGGTATACCGAACAACAAAAATTACCTGATTTTCGTCTCCTTTTACGGGTAAAACGCATATTTCACCATGGAAGAGCTCTATTCCGTCCTGAAAAACTGGATTAGCCACGTTCGAAACTATCGACATGTATAGGCATACTTGCTTATGCTGGAGATTGCTGTCATGGATTGTCAGCGCCTCTGAGAGGGCTCTCCAATCTAAGGGATTACGCGATTTTATCAGCTGCGACAGAGTGATAGTATGAAGACCCATTTGCAGTTTATTCGCAGCTGCCTCGCAAGAAATCACTTCGAGACCATTCTGTAAATACCCTTTTGATGTAGAAGAGATTGATAGTCCAGCAGCACCTGCTTATCCATAATCAAACAGGCAGAAAATGGGCACGCTTTCTTCGAAGGAGCTGGATCGAGGTCAATGCATCGTTGAACGATATCATGGGGAACGTCGACCTCCAAAGTGGCAATTCCTGGGATCACTACCGATTCTCCATTAGCTGGCATCAAGACAGGTACATGAAACTCCTAAAACCCGGATTTCACTACATAATTCACATCTCTAATCTGCTATCAAAACTAGCGTGAACTATCATGAGAACTGATGGACAACAAATCTTAAAACTTCATGATAAATTAACTTTGCAAGAACGATACTTGGCAGTTCTTTCTAATGGTTAACATTGATCTATTCATCTTCAAATTCAGGTTCAAAGAACTCTCCTTTTCAAATTTCCCCTTGAGAAATTCCATCTTTGCAGCTTCTCCATGAACGAACATCACACAGCGGGGTTGACAATCTCTTATCAGCTGAATAAATTTTTTACACAAAATCTTCCAGCTCATAAGCAAGTTACCTGCATGATTCCCTTAGCATCAGCATGTGGGCTAAATAACATGTATTCCACAGCTAGATTTATGTCGTGCTAAAAATGAGTGACTCAAGGATAGAATTTGTAAATCAAAGCCGTCACCCCACCATTTTTCCTTCAATTTCAATCTTCTTCATCCCCCTTATTACTTTTGCTCCCACAGTACCCGCTACGCAATAACCTGAACGAACGACTGTCTTTACTGGGTAAATATCAATAGTACTATCCGCACCTGGCATGATTATCATATTTCTGGGATCGTGACACCATTTACGAAACACTTTCAAGGATTGTCCACCATGTAACATACCTCAATACCAAGGATATAGGCCTAAAAATATAGACGGAGAGACAGACCTGGGGTTGAAAACAGCACCATAGCTCCAGGCATATCCTCATAGCCTTTATCTAACGGCTTGATGTGCTTGAAGTCAAACATATTCCTCTCAACAAACGTCCGTTTGATCTTTTCGTTGGTCCAGTTTATGAACAAGCGGTAGTACTGTACAAAGAACAATTTTTCAAAATATATAACATTAATATATCAACGATATCAATGGCTTGATACAAAGGATTTCTTAGCCGTGACTGTCATTCACGCCTCCTCTAGGAATTTCAAGGTTAAAGGCCCGGGAAAATTTCAGAACGCATCTCATAAAGTCCCCCGCCCCCTTTCTTTCGCTTCCTTTTCTTTTTTTTCTTTTTTTCTTTCTTTTTTTACAAAGAATTTTTCCGCAGGCGTGGTTGCCATTCACGTCCTCTTCTGGGAATTTCAAATGGCCCGTGAAAATTTCAAAAGGCATCCCGTAAAGTCACCCCTCCCTTCTTCCTCCAAAGGAAATTTCACGGACCGCCATTATCCTCATAAAATATACCTGATTCGCTCGTTCTGCTAGACCCTGAGAAAAATAAATAGGTATTTTGAGGTCCATCCTTTCCCAGTAGGATTCAAGAAGGATGCACATTTCTTGAGCACGTCCTAGAGCGAAAACTGGAATAAGGACCTGCAAAGGTTTCATAGTGACTGTTGAATGACGATAGCAAAGAAACAGTTAGTTACTTTTCCTCCTGCCATCACTCTATCATGCACTTTTCTCAGAAAGTCTCTTTCTCGTGCTCTTTTCGAGTCACGAATTGTAGTAGCGTAAGTGGACTCAGAGATCAGACAATCTGGCCGCAATCCGGGCAGCACTCTGGCAGCACCGAGATGACGATCAGGAGTCATATTGTAGTCACCTTTAAAAAAAGCAGTATGTTTGAAAAAAAATCTATCGATGTTACTGACCTGTATACAGTATACTCTGGTGACCAACGCGAATCTCAAACATTGCTGCACCTAGTACATGTCCAGCATAGAACGCCCGGATTGACAACTCCCTGTCAACCTGTATGGTTTCATGGAGGTTAACAGCAATAACCTGAACATCGGCAGGATCATTTTGGAAATTAGTCTGATGGTTCCATAGAGCTACCGAAAAGATATTTTTCTGCGAAAAGTGGGTCCCAGTGGTTAACTGCGAAGGCAATAAAACCTTACTACCTTTTTCATGCAGGCCTTTATGTTGGCGGATGTAAAGAAATTGGTGTCTCCTCTGAACTCTGTCTGCACCTTGCGGTAATCTTCCTGCAACGATACGAACTTAGCAACGGATCTAAATACATTACAAAAAGGCTCTCACCAACAAGACTGGAGCTATAGCTTTTGTTGGGTACGTCATGTAGATGGGTCCGTCAAAACCGATGATTTCGCTCATATGAGGCAGAGAACCACAGTGATCCAGGTGGAAGTGAGAGACGATGACGCATGTCAAGTAATCGTTCAGCTTTCCTCCGCCACCGATGTAACTGTAAACAGAGAGCTAGGATGAAAACAGTGATACTAATCACTACGTAATATATAACGAATTCGTTGTTTACCCATTAAGCCGCCCGATAGTTGGATCATGGCAAACGAGGAGGCCGCAGACGTAAAAATTATGATGAAATACACTGATCTTTGGAATTGGATTGCTGCCAAGTGGCATGCGTTTTGGAACGCTGCCAAATTTCAAAACGAGTGACCAAGCATATTTTCGTAAAAGGGTCACACTTATTTCGAAAGGCAATCATGAGGCCGCCATGATTTTGAGAACTGGGTCGCCAGCGTCCGGGTGTCCGGGTGGTTATTTGTAGTTGCTGTTTTTGAGCTTGTTATATGTCTTTCAAATATGTTGTACTTCTATTAGTTGCTTTTGAAATGATGTCAAATTGCGCAACAGCGTAACTTGAGCTAAATTCATCTAAGTTCCTAACTCTTGCGAAAATGCTCTAACTAAGAACAATCACTCTAGGATCGCCTTGCTTCCACATGTAGACAAGAGAGTGCGTGAGTAACTTGGTTTCGCTGGTACTTTTGGAAACGTTTATCTAATAACAGCCTTGCTTTTGCTTGTTAATGGGTCCCGCTGGTGCTTTCAACTAGGAATCGGTGTGTAAGCGGCACGTAGGGCAATTGCATCGGGCAGGGAAACAGATTTTTGTACTCTTGGGGCAGTTCTCAGAATTGAAATTTCAAAAGTGGCATGTACGGCAATTTGAGAATACGCTGATTTCGTTGTTTTCTTTCCGTAGAGTCGTAAGGTTGGTTTTTCTTATGTATACGGCCTTCAAGCGGCACATAGGCATAAACTTTCTTTTGAATAGTTATTATCGGTCGGTAAGCGGCACGTAGGGCAATTTGATCGGGCAGGGGAATAGAATTTTGTACGTTTGGAGCAGTTCTTATAATTTTTGAACGGTCTTCAAGCGGCACGTAGGGCAACTTGATCGGGCAGGGGAACAGATCGTACGTTTGGGGCAGTTCTTATAATTTTAAACGGTCTTCAAGCAGCACGTAGGGCAACTTGATCGGGCAGGGGAACAGATTGTACGTTTGGGGCAGTTCTTATAATTTTTGAACGGTTTTCAAGCGGCACGTAGGGCAACTTGATCGGGCAGGGGGACAGATTTTTGTACGTTTGGGGCAGTTATTATAATTTTAAACGGTCTTCAAGCGGCACGTAGGGCAACTTGATCGGGCAGGGGGACAGATTTTTGTACGTTTGGGGCAGTTATTATAATTTTAAACGGTCTTCAAGCGGCACGTAGGGCAACTTGATCGGGCAGGGGGACAGATTTTTGTACGTTTGGGGCAGTTCTTATAATTTTAAACGGTCTTCAAGCAGCACGTAGGGCAACTTGATCGGGCAGGGGAACAGATTGTACGTTTGGGGCAGTTCTTATAATTTTTGAACGGTTTTCAAGCGGCACGTAGGGCAACTTGATCGGGCAGGGGGACAGATTTTTGTACGTTTGGGGCAGTTCTTATAATTTTAAACGGTCTTCAAGCGGCACGTAGGGCAACTTGATCGGGCAGGGGAACAGATCGTACGTTTGGGGCAGTTCTTATAATTTTTGAACGGTCTTCAAGCGGCACGTAGGGCAACTTGATCGGGCAGGGGAACAAATTTTTGTACGTTTATGCAGTTCTTATGACTGACGGTTTTTAGGTGGCTCAGTAGTGTGCTTTTTGGGGAGGGATCTATATGTGTAGTAAAGCTTCATATTCCTTTGGTGAAAATATTGAAATATTTTCTGACAAAGTTCTTAGACGAATGATTTCGTTGGTGTCGGAGTTGATTCTGAGAGAAAAGTTTTGTAGTACACAATTGTCGTGGTGTGGTGTGGGTGTATTTCTACTTCTAAAACGATAGGTGTTCTTCTACTTCCTTGACGATCTTCTATGGAAATTGTTGAGAAGAACTGGAAGAGCAAATTTTCTTTGAGAGGGTAGAAAAGATGGGGGGGGTTATCTGAACGTATCTGTGAGGAGAGGAAATTTGCAGAAAGAGCGTGGTAAAGGAGAGAAAAATAATAACTAAACTCATTAATGTAGTCCAGAAAAAAAGAGTTTTTTGAATAAACAATTTTTATGAAGTATTTTTGCTGAAGCTAGCTCAAGGAGAAGATGTCTCGAATGCAGCAAAAAATATGTAGATTTTTTGATTCAAAAAAATTGAACGCATCTGCGGTTTTCTTGAAGAGCTATGGCCTTTCGAAGGCTCGGTCGAAAAGTAGAGCAGCTACAAGATAGATGAAAGGCTGATCGGATACCTGAGCTGCTCGTCGGTCGCAGTTCTGCGACGTTCGGCGTTCAGAAAGCAAAAACAGACTATGAGCCATAACATATCCACAGTCAAAGGCGTGAATTGCTTACTTTCCTTCACAAACTATAGATTATTGTTGATTGTAAAGTATCTCACGCTTTGCTCCAAATGATATGTCTCGCGAGAATGTTTTGCAAAAAAATATGTAATTTTTTACAGTTTGAGATAAAGATGAATTTCGGAAGAGAAAGTCTAAATTCTATTAGCTTTCAAAGTGTGCTTTGACCAAAATATTGGGTTGGCTAAAAAATAATTTCGTTTTGGCATAAAATTCTTATCCACGATTTTTTGTGGGGATTAGCTTGAAGCTTCTTCCACCACATATCAACTACTCATGACTTTCAATTACAATACCGCTCACATTTTTTGAAAAAAAGACGCGAATGTATGGACATGTATGGACATGAACGGACATGTTCATACATGTATGGACATGTACGGACATGTCCATACATGTATGGACATGTCCGTTCATGTCCATACATGTCCATACATTCGCGTCTTTTTTTCAAAAAATGTGAGCGGTATTGTACCAGTAAGGAACAGTTACTCAGATAATCGCCGGGGGCAGGCGGCCATGCGAATTTTGAGCAAGCGCGCACCGGAAAAAAAGTTCTTTGATTTTTTGCGATCCGCTTGCAGAAATTTGGAAGAAAATTGGCGAAATTTAAGACCAATGCTTGAAGAACAATCGCGGTTTCTTTATGAATTAGCTGCGGCGCAGTGGCCGCATTCTCGCGAATTTTCCGCGAGAATATGCAAAAAATTCGGGGGCCGCACGGTCCTTTGTGGAGGACCGCGCAACCCCCAGGTACTTTCCGCTGGGAGAAAGTACCTCAAACTTGAGTAATTGAACCAACGGTGACACTTCTGCCACACAGAGTCTTACCTGCGCTCGACGTACGCCCGAAAATGCCTAAAAAGAGTCCGAGCGCTTGCTGAAAGTTTGGTCAGCGCTCGCTGAAAGAAATTATTTGCCGAGCGCTTGCAAAAAATGCTGTATTGCTGCCCGCTGGCAGAATATGCGACCGTAAAGGAAGTGCCGCCCGCTGAAGGTTTGGCCACGCCCCAAAATTCTGCTGACCGCCTGCAGAAAAGCGCGAGTTTGCGGACCGCCTGCCCCCCGCGATTATCTGAGTAAGTCCCAATATGGTTAAAATTCCAAAGGCTGATTCTGTCACCTTCTAGGCTCCGCTTTCTTGCTGTAAAGATGTACAGAACAGCAGTTTGGTATTTACATGGATACGGACAAGTTTTCCCTACTTGACGAATAACTATAGAAACTGTGATCTGCCACTTCAAACTTCTTTGCCCACAAAAACTAATTTTTGAATATTTGCGCACAATGGGAAAACTAGGGTTTTTCATTTCTTTACGGATTTCTTTTATTAGAAATTAAATCCTACTCAAGCAGATTTTAAATTCCATTGCTCACTGAAATACCGAATACTGGGCAAAAAATTCTCCGCAGCGTTTGTAGAAGCCGCAAAAGCAACCGAAATTATTTACTAGCCAACCTATTAGTGTATGGCCACATTCAAAATGTAAGATGTAGCCTAAACCCTAATCTTTCACGAGGTCAATTACCTTGAAGATCACAGATGAACCAAAAGATGAAGGAAGTATGAGCCCAAGGATGTTGCACAGACTAGAACTTCTTTAAACGGGACAGAGCAAGCTGAAGGAGCCAGGCTTTCATAGATGCTCTGTTAATCAGACCTCTTGCTTAACGTCGACAATTGCACTTTTCAAAAACAGCTTCAAATCAGAGAGCGAGAAGAGAAGGACGATAGCGGTGGGTGTTGTTCTTCTAGGGTGAAGCAAAATGAGAAGGGAGTCAAATTATTGGAGATATCCGTAATTTTGCGTCAGGAAAAATTAGCAATCTTTGTGATTTTTGAAGTATATCAAGAATTCACTTTGTTGAAAAAGAAAAACTACTGATTTTCCAGTAAATTAGAATCTATGCAGAATAGAGCTTTCAGTGAGTAGATATCGCAGGTACAAAGAATTGCCCAGAAAGAAGAGTTATCTCTAACTCCTAAGTTGGCGGACGAAAACTGAATTCGCATAAAATTTGAAGTGCTGGCCTATAGAACCTGCCAACTAGGTCAGATTTTAGGGGTAGAAGCGGATTGAGAAGAATACATAGCAGTTAGGATCAGGGCCCTGCACAGGTCCGTTTCTAAGCTTTTTGAAAACGAGGTCTCCCTGAATTTCGCAAAATTTTACGAAATCCCTCTGACTCAAAATCAGAAACGTCGACTATGAAAAACTTAGTTTTATGTTTTTTGGACTTATGAAAACGATATGACAGGAACCCTGCAAGAAAAAAGAGCAGATTTGTAGTCAACTCGATAGGACAAATCTCTTGCCATACAATGTGACCGCAATCCACGGAAAAACGGTAGGGACAGTGGGAGCATAGTATTGTCCCCACGGATCCCGCAAGTTCCGCGGATCTCGCAACATGGACACATCTCAGTAAAACAATTCTACTTTTACGTTGTAATCAAAAAGATTCTTTTAGACCTATATTTAGAAGGCAGTCCTCGATTTGCCTTGACTGA